AATAATATAAATTATAATAATGTGACATTTAGCGATATCTTATAGAGTATCCCATTGGAGATGCTTTAACTACACTAGTGGAACATCTAGCCAACTGGTGTTTTCTTATATTAACAATTAAATAAGGGCTAATTAACCCAAATCAATTAGTTGAGTGGATTAGCCCGCAGAAAAGAAGTTAAGGGGCCGGTTATCCATAATGTGATAAGTTGAGGGGCTGATTTAAAAGTTCGGTCATTAAATAAAGGAAAATCCTCTGGCAAGCTATTCAGACACAGGCCAGCAAACATAAAAGGTTGAGCCAGAATTAATTAAAGCACTGCCTCTTGTCCTTCAGTTTCCACAAAGTCTGCTTTTCTGCTCATTTGTTTTATTTCACCCCTTTCATTTGTATGCATGAAATCAAATTCTTTTTCTTTCATCTTTCACTACCCCCAAATCCAGCTTTCTCTTTGGTTAATTTGTCATTTCCTTCAGTCTTCTTTAAATTCATACTTCCATAATCTCTCAAACTAATCTGCACTGCATTATCCATTGATTATTTAGCTTTTGTTCCTTGTCAATCCACTTGTATTCTCTGTAGCTTTGTTTTATCATCTAAATATTTCTCAAAACCTTTTTTAAAAGAGAGAGAGAGAGAGAGAATTAGAAAGAACAGAGTAGCAGCATTCTTTGTTCATTTGTCCAGTTGTTGATCAATCTTTCACCACAAATCACAACATGTTTGTGCACAAGGACCAGTCCAATGTCATCAAGATGCTGAGGAAACAAATTGCTGACTTGGAGGACGAGAAAGAGAGTGTGAAGCGCTATACTGAAGATTTCTACGGTAGCAGAACTGAGGCGCTCCAGAATTGGTTGGGGAACACATCAAATCTCATTCAAACAGCACACTATTTGGCAGAAGATGTTGGGAACCGTGGGAAGTCTCCTTTCCAACTTAGAAAGAAGGCCGAGCAGATATGCAAGGATATTGCTGGACATGTTCAAAAAGCTCGTGGATTCTCCAACATCCCACTATCCTATCGACAACAGAAAGTGGCTGCTGATCGTTTTGAGGACTTTGGATCTAGAAGTGATGTTTTGAAGGGCATCATGGAGGCACTACGAAGTCCTTTCATCAACAAGATAGGAGTGTACGGGAAGCCTGGTGTGGGGAAGACAATGATGGTTAGAGAAGTTAAAAGAAGAGCTGAGCAAGAGGGGTTGTTTGATGCAGTTCTAATGGCAACTGTAGGTAGGAATCCAGACTTAGCCAGAATTGAAGATGAAATTGCACGTGTTTCTAATGAACAAACAGGGCTGATAGAAAAGGTCCTCGTGATTTTGGACGACTTATGGGAGCCAGGATTATCTTTGGAGTTGCTTGGAATAAATGGGAAGGAAGAAGACAATGTTATATCTTACAAACTTTTGCTGACCTCTAGAGATAGAGATGTTGTATCTCTTCTATCTGAAACACAATTTAAAATTGACATATTAACCCAGGTAGAAGCATGGAATCTGTTTAAGAAGATAGCTGATGATCCAGATAAAAGTCGTGGTTTGCCGTTTTATGCAAACGAGATTACCAAGAAGTGTGAGGAATTGCCCATTGCTGTTGCAACACTCGCGAATGCCTTGAGAAGAAGAAATCTTATTGAGTGGAAGACAACTTTACGAAAGCTACAAACCCTGCCGAATTCAAGTCAGATACCACAAAGCCTGTGTTCAGCCATCGAGTTGCATTACAGTGGTTTGAAAAGCAACGAACTCCAAATTTTCTTGCTTTGCAGTCTACTGGGTCAGAATGCAACCATTCAAAACTTGTTGAAATATGGTATAGGCTTGGGCTTATTCCCAGGAGTCAAATCCATAGAGGAAGCACGAGCTCAAGTGCTAATTTTGGTGACTAGACTCAGAGATTCTTCCTTGTTGCTGGATAATGGTAGCAGTTTGTACTTCGATATGCACGATCTTGTTCGAGATTTTGCTACCTCGACTGTTTCTAAGGAGTTTGGCGTGTTGGCTTTAACAGAAAGCGCACCAATCAACGGGTCACGCATGGAGGGGATGGATTTATTTATCAAATGGATTTATTTATCAAATGGGGACGCCAGTCAGCTTCCAAATGAGTTGAAATGTCCGAAACTTACTTTCCTTCATTTGTCTGAAAAGAGTCCTTCCCTAGCAAGTCCACCAAACTTGTTTAGGGATAAGGAAGGACTCAAAGTCTTGAGTTTGTTGAAAATGAAGTTTTTGTCAATCCCTTCCTCATCAATTTCCCTCCCAAAAAGCCTTTGTACCTTGTGTCTGGATCAAGTTGTGTTAGGGGCGGCAAATATAGGCACAATGATTGGAGAACTGGAGAATTTGCAAGTCCTAAGTCTTGTAGGATCTGATATCAAAGAGTTGCCAGAGCAAATGGGGCAGCTAGCCAATCTGAAGTTGTTAGATTTGAGTGATTGTACCAAACTCAAAGTAATTCCACCAGGTGTCTTGTCAAGTTTGTCAGGATTAGAAGAACTATATATGAGAAACAGCTTTGTTCAATGGGCGGAGGGCATTGAGGAGCATGAAAATCAAAATGCTAGCCTAGCAGAGTTGCAGACTTTAATGTCGTTGACTTCTATAGAGCTACATGTTATTTGCAAGATTTGGAAGATTCCGGAGGGCTTGTTCTCTGAAAATTTGGCAAGATTCAAAGTTTTCTTGGGAGATAGGTGGAACAACTGGAATAGTTCTTGGGGAGTTTCAAAATTATTGAAGCTAAAGCCAGATGCAAGAAGTAGTTCTCACCACTCAGTTAGGAAGTTGCTAAAGAAGACAAATGAACTACATCTAGAAGGATTGATTGGTGTTAAAAATGTAGTCAATGAGTTAGATAACAACGGTTTCCAAGAATTGAAGTATCTCTTTGTCCAAGATGCTTCGGAGGTTCAACATATCATCTCAGTACTGAAGCCTGCATTTCCTGTATTGGAGGTATTAGTTCTTCGCAATTTGGAAAATATGGAGAAGATATGTCATGGTCCGCTAGAAGCAGCTTCTTTTAGAAAGTTGAAGTTGATAACTATTGAATGTTGTAACAAGTTGAAGAATTTGTTCTCCGCCTCTATAGCCAGACAGCTTCAGCAACTACAAGAAATTAGAGTGAAACACTGCAGTGACATGGAAGAGA